AGAAGAAGAAGAAGAAGAAGAAGAAGAAGAAGAAGAAGAAGAAGAAGAAGAAGGAGAAGGAGAAGAAGAAGAAGAAGAAGAAGAAGACCACAGTTACGACAACTCCATCGCAGACAAGCAAACAACACGAATATGTACAATATGATATTCAATGCTCATCACGTTACACATTGAAAATAAGATAGCCCCTGAAAAAATTCCAGCCAGAAGAAAGGCCTTTTACTAGTCGGGGTCCTGTAGCATCTTCGCTGACCATGGTCCTATTGGCTGAGACTCCTGACGCTCCATGTTGCAGAAGCCACATCCTCGCTTGTGCCATCCCCAGTCCCTGGAAAGATGTGAGGCTCCAATAAGTCCGCATTCAGGAAGGGGCCGGTGGCTTAGGGGTTAGGCTCTCAGACTCGCAACCGCTAAGTCGTGGGTTCGAATCCCGTCAAGGGCCCGACATTGTGTCTTTGGGTAAGGTACTTTACTCAAATTGTCCTCACTTTACCCGGGTGGGAATGAGTACCCTGCTAAAGACAGAAAAAAGATCGTGTTAAGTCTGGTAGCGTTTGAGCGCTTCATCAGCTGCTTGCACTGTATGCTTTCCAGGAAGCTAAGAATATTTCTGAGTGTTCTATGGTCTTCTGGGGTAATACTATAGAGTAAAGTGCACAGAGCTTGCAGTGGAGCGGTGATGTGCACTATACCAATGCTATTTATCATAAGAATCATTATTATAACTATAACTATATCCCAAACGGATATAAATGTAGAACTGAGTTCGCTCCTATCCTCGTAAGGATATTTGACATTGGACTCGTGGGACCAGAGCTATTCATCAGGGCTGGAGTGTTCTTCCACGGAGAGAGGGTGAACCCTCGTGTCTCTTAAGCCATAGTGCTACTATTACTAAGGACGCAACAGCATAAGTGGAGAACGAGTTTCTTCAACTTTTTTCGAAGACAAATTATGTGCGGGTACACGCGGCTCAGGTTGTGCGATGTTACAATGGAATGGAAAGCTTGCGTTCAAAGTAGCAGCGGAAAAAAGTATTTCTTAAAATCAATTGATGTGCAACAATGTACTACTTTAGAGAGAGAGAGAGAGAGAGAGAGAGAGAGAGAGAGAGAG